AAAGTAAATTATAGACCAACTTTCATCATGAACAAAGACACAAAATACCTAATCAGAACAAAACACATTATATACTATATAAAATAATGCACCAAAATCAAGTGAGATTTATGCAAAGAATACAAAATTTGTTTAAAGATTGAAAATCAATTAATGCAATCCATCATACTAACAGAATAAAGGAGAGTTCAACATGATCCTATCACTACATGCTTACAAAGTATTTAAGAAAATAAGCACTTTCATAATAAAACTGAGCAAAGTAGAAATTGAAGAGAACTTTTTCAATTTGATAAAGGGCATTTATAAAAAATTTAAAGATGGCATCCTGCTACAGATCAAATACAGAATGTTGTCCCTTTCTGATCAGAAACAAGGCAAGGCTATATTCTCTTATCTCTTCTGTTCAACATTTTACTGAAGATTCTAATAGCAGTACAAGTGGGGGGAATAAAAAGATTGGAAAGGAAGAAGTAAATTTTGGAAAGGAAGAAGTAAATCTGACCTTATTCACAGATATCAACAAGAAAAGTAAATCTGCTAGAACCAAAAGCGAATTTAGGAAGTTCTCAATGTAGAATGTCAATATGGAGAAATCAGTTGTATTTCTACATGCTAGTAGCAAATAGTTGGAAAATGAAACTAAAATCAGTTCTCCATCGTGGATCACTACATCAAAAACCAATGGTGTATGGTATGGTGACTAACATAACATAATAAAATTTTAAAAATTAAAAAATAAAATCAGTTCTCTTCTAGATGGTATCAAATAACATAAAGTAGAAATAAATTTAACAGAAGCATTCACCAGAAACTTCAGACATTGCCAATAGAAATTCAAGGAAACTTAAATAAATGGAGGAATATACCATGTTAATGGTTAAAATATTCAGTAGTGTTAAGATGTCATTTCTTCCCAAATTGGTCTAAAGATTTAACTTCCCAAGCAAAATCCCAGCAGGCTTTTTTTGTAGAAATTAACAAACTGATTTTTAAGTGTATATGTAAAAACAGGGGACCTAGAACACTCAAATCAATCTTGAGAAAAAGAACAAATTTGGATAACTCACACTACCCGACTTTTAAGACTTACCACAAAGCTACGGTGATAGTGACACTGTGATATTGATCTAAGGATGGGTAAATAGATCAGTGGAAGATAATAAAGAATCCATACATGGTCACTTAATTCTCAATAAAATCACCCAACTCAGTACATAGGAAAAGAAAACTCTTCAATAAATGACACTAGAACAATTGGATATGTATATGAAAAACAAAAATTAGTTATAACCCCTGCCTCAAAGCATATATAGGCATAACTTGGAGATACCACGGGTTTCGTTCCAGACCACCACAATAAAGCGAGTCAAATGAATTTTTTGGTTTCCTAGTGCATATAAAAGTTACGTTTATACTATACCATAGTCTGTTAAGTGTGCAGTATCATTATGTCTGAAAAACCAGTGCAAATACTTTAATTAAAAAACACTTTATTGCTAAAAAATGGCTAACCATCACCTGAGCTTTCAGTGAGTAGTAATCTTTTTTAGGGTCGTGTATCAATGTTTATAGTTACTGATTGATCAGGGTGGTAGTTGCTGGAAGTTGGGGTGATTGTGGCAATTTCTTAAGACAGTGGAGTTTGCCTCATTGATTGAATCTTCCTTTCACAAATGATTTCTCTCTAGCATATGATGCTGTCTGATAGCATTTTACCCACAGTAGAACTTCTTTCAAAATTGGAGTCAATCCTTTCAAACCCTGCTGACTCCTTTATCAGTTAAGTTTATGTAATATTCTAAATCCTTTGTTGTCATTTCAACAATCTTCTCCAGGAGTGGATTCCATTTCAAGAAACCACTTTCTGTGCTTATTCATAAGAAGTAATTCTTAATCCATTAAAGTTTTATCATGAGATTGCAGCAGTTCAAATATAAAAATAATGAAAAAGCTTGAAATATTACAAGAATTACCAAATGTGACACAGAGACACAAAGTGAACAAATGCTGCTGGGAAAATGATTCCAAGAGCATTGCTCAATACAGGATTGACACAAATCTTCAATTTTAAAAAATGCAGTATCTACAAAGTGCAATAAAGCAAGGTGTGTCTATAAAAATGTATTTGAGATGGATTATAGGTCTAAACATAAAAACTAAAACCATTAAGTTTCTGGGGGAAAAAACCATAAGAGAATATACTCAGGATCTAGGATATTCAGAGTTTCTTAAGGCACTAAGCAATAACCACAAAAGAAAAAAATTAAGTTAGTCTTCATCCAAATCAAAAACTTTTATTCATTCAGAGACCCGTTAAGAAAATGAATATGTGGGCGCCTGGGTGGCCCAGTTGTTAAGCGTCTGCCTTCGGCTCAGGTCATGATCCCAGGATCCTGGGATCGAGTCCCGCATCGGACTCCCTGCTCAGCAGGAAGCCTGCTTCTCCCTCTCCAACTCCCCCTGCCTGTGTTCCCTCTCTTGCTGTGTCTCTCTCTCTCAAATAAATAAGATCTTAAAACAAAAAAGAAAAGAAAAGAAAATGAGTAGGCAAACTATAGCATGGGAGAAAATATTTTCCAAGCAGGTATCTGACAAAGGACTTGTATCCAGAATATATAAAGAACTCAACAACTTAATAATTTAAAATTAAGAAGGACTTAATTGTTCCCTTCCTAGGAATTCATCTGAGAGAAATATTAAGATATGTCCACAAAAAAACAGAATTATATAAGAAAGCTTATGGCAGAGATCTGCTGTACAACATAGTGCATATAGTTAAGAGTACAGTGTTGTACACTTAAAAACTTAAGAAGGTACATCACATGCTAAGTGTTCTTACACCAAAGGAAAAAGAAAACACAAATCTTTTGGAGGTGATGGATATGTTTATTACCTTAGTGTATCTCAGATGTATGCATGTGTCCAAACTCATCAAAATGTATACATTAATGTATGCAATTTTTTGTATATTAAGTATACCTCAGTAAAGCTGAAAAAAAAATTTATGGTAGCTTGATTCAACAGTAGTCAAAAACTAGAGACAGTGCAAACATCTCTCAACAAGTGAATGGATAAATAGTGATATATTTATACAGTGCGATACAGCTCAACAATAAATAAGAACAGACTACTTATATGCAAACATGAATGAATCTCAAAACCATTATGCAGAGTAGATGATAGCACAAAAGAATACATACCATTTGATATAATTTATTTGAATTTTTAAACTAAGTGAAACTCATTTAATGGGGAAAAGAAACTAGAACTCTGTTGTTCTCTTTGTGAGGATGCAGAGAGAAAGGATTGACTGGGAAGGGACAAAAAGAACTTTTGAGAAAATAGAAATGTTCTATTCCAGGATAGGAGGATGGGTTACTCAGGTATATCCATTTGTCAAAATTGTATGGCTATGATTTGTACATTTAGTGTATATAAATTTTTCCTCAAGAGCTGTAAATAATAACAATTGAGAAGGAACTGGGAATGGGTAGAAGGATAAATAAACCAAGAATGGCAGAATACTGATAAGTTGAAGCTGAAGATTGTGTGGTTTATTACAGAGTTCTCTTCACTTTGCTATGTTTGAAATTTTCCATCATAAAAATTTTTAAAGGAGACAACAGTAAGCAAGGGTAGAAAGGTATTGAACTTGGCATTATATATTTGTCAACTTAAAAAATAAGGATAAAACAAATATAAAACTTCTCAACACTTTTTCCTTAAAATAATTGTGGGGGAGATGTGGAAAAGTTTGAGGGACTAAGAGAACTAGAAATAAACCATTGCCTAAAACAAACACAATAGGGGCAGCCAAACTTGAGATAATTAATTTGGAATTTAGTTGGAGCAATTTTCAAACTATTAATAAAGAAGTAGCCTAGGAAAAAAAATGAGTGAAGGTTTGTCTCCTAATTCATTTGAATCTAAAGTTTCAGATTTTGTGTACATTTAATATTTTAAAAACTTTTTTTTAATTTGCTTTCCATATGAGGATTGGTACAAATGACCCTGAAAGGTAGGTTTTTAAATGTATTCAGCCTCAGAGCACTATTGACAATTTTATAATTGGCAGAAATGTAGGTTTTTAAATTATTTTGATGCTTATGGCACCTGGATGGCTCAGTTGGTTAAGTATCCAACTCTTGGTTTCAGCTCAGGTCAGGATCTCAGGGTTGTGAGATCAAGGCCCATTTGGGGCTCCAGGCTCAGCTCAGAGTCCGCTTTGGATTCTCTGCCTCTCCCCCTGCCCCTCACCCTGCTCCTGCTCTCTCGTGCTCTCTCACTCTCTCAAATAAATAAATAAAATAAAATCTTTTAAAAAATTTATTGTGATGCTTTATAAATGCATAAGGGGAAGAAGACCATTTTTATATGGTATAAGTAGCTTTTGAAGAGCTATATACTTGAGGGGCACCTAGGTGACTCAATCGGTTAAGCAACCAACTCTTGATTTCCACTCAGGTCAGATCTCAGAGTTATGAGATCAAGCCCCAAGTCAGGCTCCACTCTGGGTGTAGAGCCTGCGTAAAGATTATCTCTCTCTCTCTCTCTCTTTCTAAAAAAAAAAAAAAAAAAAAAATTCTCTCTCCCTCTTTCTCTAACCCCCCCGTTAAAAAAAAAAAAAGCTATGTACTTGAAAATGTGGCCATAAACTATTGATGATACAAAAAATTAATTATGAATCAAAATTCTCTTGGAAGAGTGAGGATAATCATGTAGTTTTTGTAGAGTAATGTCTTTGGAATATGTGTGTATTAGGTAAACTAGCTTTCTTAGGAGAAAAAAATTCAAATTGTAATAATGTAAGTACTCCTATGATTCTTATATGATTTAAGAAAAAATAAGTAACAATATTAGCTATAATGCAGAAAGAATTTAAGTTAATATTTAACAATCAGTATATATTTTATAATGAAAACTTAGCATCTGTTTCGTAGGCTATTTTGAACAGTCCAGTAGTCACACAGCTGAATTCATATTTGCTATTTTTTTAGCTACAGAAGATCATAAGTAAACAAGATGACTTGAAGACAACAATAGCTAATGAAACAGAATGCCAGGTATGTGCAAATAAACTAAATATTCCCAGACAGATGATATTTACAGTAGTTTCTCTATATTGTTTGTCAAATAAATATTCACATATAGTTGGGAAAATTATCAGTAACTTCATTTTTCTAAATATTTTGAATAGATGTGCTACATTCACATGGTCCAGACTTCAAAAGGTTCACAAGGGTATGTGCAGAGGGCAGCATTTTCCTCCCAGTCACCCAGTTCTCCCTGAGCAGTGAGTGCTTTCAGTGTCCTGTATATTCACCCAGAGATACCTCGTGTGTATAAGTGTATCTATAAAGAAGTAACTAAATACATCCATGTGTTCTTTTTTCCATTTTTCTGCAAGGAATAGCATAGTGCGTTGTTTCACACTCTCCCATTTTTCCTCAATACATCTGGTTAGCTCCTTTTTAACAGCACCTTAGTGCTTTTTGTATGGATGTCCTAGTTTATGTAACCATTCTCCTCTTTAAAAACGTTTAATGTATATCCAGTCTTTTGATAATGCAAATAATGCTGCAGTTAATTATCCTGTAATTATATCATTTTATATATATGTGAATATATCTGAGGGATCACTTCCCAGAAATTTGATTGCTGGGTCAAAAGGTAGGATATTTCTAAGGTTGTTGATAAACTTTGACAAGTTTTGGCAAGTATCTTCTATAGAAAATGAACCAGTTTTCATTCTTACTGCTAATGTATATCAGTACATTTTCTGTTGATAATCTTTCAGTCAGTTCTTATTCCACAGTATGCTTTCCATGAGATTTTCTTAAATTTCCAATTTATTTCATCTTTTAGAGCATGTCTGCTTCAAATTTTGCACATTATTAAAATCACAATTCTTTCTTACATTTCATCCCTTTGAGCAATCCTGTGCTGGACTTCTTTTTCCCATATCTGAGTCCTTGAATGTATTCCCTTTTTCCAGCTTTATATGTCCTGTGTGTTCCCATCATACCCTGTATGTCCGCCATCATAACACCTCTCACACATTAGTATAATTAATTGTGTCCTCCTCTGAACTGTAAGCATCATTCCTCTCTCTACAGTTGTTTGAAGTTAGGGAGCAGTCAACAAGACCACCTACTTTTGATAGCAATTGCAAGTTCACTTGCAACCCCCAAGACCACCCTTGGGTTCCATTATTCACTGGAAGGACTCACAAAGTTCACTGAAAGTTGTTTGGTTCATGGGTACAGTTTTCTTACAATGAGCAGATACAGATTAAAATCAGCCAAAGGAAAAGACACATGAGGCAGAGGTCCAGAAAGTTCCCCAAGCAGAGGGTCCAGTTGTCCTCTCCCCATTGGGATCATGGATAGCACTAACTCTCCCAACAAGGTGTGTAACAGTACACCTGGAGTAGTACCAGTCAGGGCCCTAATGTCCTGAGATTTTCTTGGGGTCCGCTATATAAATTTGGTTGGCTACCCATGTTGCTGGCCCCCATCTCTAGCCATTCTGGAGGTCATTCTGATACCCCATGACCCAAGCCACCACCCTAAACCTCATTGTTATTCTGGTTTGGCCCAAGGCCCCCAAGTAAACAAGACACTTATCGTAGACATCACCTCCCAGCAGCCCAGGACAAAAGCAGACTTCTGTCTGGGTACGGTAAATTCTTTACTATGTAAAGCAGCAGAACATGCTCTAAATGCTCAGTAAATATTTTTAAATGAATCAATAAATATTTAATCGTATGAATATGACATTTTTATTATTGATCATTAAGATTGTTTCCAAATATTTACTGTTAGAATCATGCCCCAGTAAAGAGTTAAGCATGTAAATTTAGGAGAACATTCTAAAGGTGAGATTGTTGGGTCAAAAGGCGTGGATACTTTTAAGACTTCTGATTTATAGGGTCAAACTGCCTTCTGGAAAAGTTGTAACAATTTACAGCCCTACCACCATTGAGTAAGCATGTCCCCCTGTGAACAGTCCAGGATTGGTATCTGTTTTTGTTTTGGTTTTTAAGCAGTGCCAATTAGATAGGGGAAAAGGTATCTCAATTATTTTTCAAGATACTTTTTATTTTATAAATTTTCTTTTTTTTTTATTATGTTATGTTCCGTTAGTCACCATACAGTACATCATTAGTTTTTGATATAGTGTTCCATGATTCATTGTTTGCGTATAACACCCAGTGCTCCATGCAAAGTGTGCCCTCCTTAATACCCGTCACCGGGCTAACTCATTCCCCCCCCAAAACCCTCAGTTTGTTTCTCGGAGTCCATAGTCTCTCATGGTTCATCTCCCCCTCCGATTTCCCCAAAATTTTCTGTTCTTTGGGAATTTCTTTAGGTTTTTCTTCATATTTATTTTTAGGAGTACTTTTAAGAGTAAATTAAAAATAGGGCACCTGGGTGGCTCAGTTGGTTAAGCGACTGCCTTCAGCTCAGGTCATGATCCTGGAGTCCCGGGATCGAGTCCCACATCGGGCTCCCTGCTCAGCAGGGAGTCTGCTTCTCCCTCCGACCCTCTTCCCTCTCGTGCTCTCTCTATCTCATTCTCTCTTTCTCAAATAAATAAATAAAATCTTTTAAAAAAAAGTAAATTAAGAATATTAACCTAGTATTTGTCAAATTTATTGCAGTATTTATCAGATTTTTTTGTTTGTGATGTTTTGATTATAGATATTTTTATTTTTTACGTGGTCATATTTATTTGTCTTTTAATTTTATTTATCTAATAACTTTTCATTTTTTAAAATGTCTTCCCCACATCAAAATTAGTTAGAAATACTAACCTGTATTATCCTCTGGTTTAGTTATGCTTTTGGTTTTTTACATTTAATTTTTTCATTCATCTGAAATTTGTTTCTAAAGGGCATCCCTGTGACATTACTTTTTTACTATTATAAGTGGACTCTTTTTCCTCAAGGGAAAAATTATTGCACAGGAAATCTATTTGATTTTTATTTTTAGCCTGGCTTTCTAGGAGTCATTCCTGTGTCTGCACAGTTTTAGTGTCCAGCCAGAGATTGGCCAGAGATTATACTAAGACAATGGAGATAATAAGCTGTGCCCTCTCTCCCCCCTGCCAATGGGTCTGTGTAAGGGCTGGGAGTACATTCACACTTAGGCTCTTTTTTTTTTTTTTTTTTTTTTTTTTTAAGAACGGGCAGTCCTGAGAAGGCTGCAGTGATTTTTTTTTTTTTTAAGATTTTATTTATTCACTTGCAAGAGAGACAGAGAGAGAACAAGCAGGGGGAGAGGCAGAGGGAGAGGGAGAAGCAGACTCCCCGCCGAGCAAGGAGCCCTATGCGGGACTCGATCCCAGGACCCCGGGATCATGACCCGAGCCAAAGGCAGACGCTTAACCATCTGAGCCACCCAGATGCCCAGTTAGGCTCTTTTTAAGCCTGAAAGTGCACACACCTGTGTCAGCTCTTTGAGCCAAGGACGTGTGGGCAGCTGGAGCTGGTGTGGTCTCTGCTGTATGTGCGGCACAACCTGGGGTACAACGAGAGCGCAAGTCGTTATGGTTGTCTCAGCTCCTCAGTGTTTCAAGTACTGGCCATCTGCCAGTCCATTGTTTGTTCCAAAGAGGCCTGCAGTCTCAGCTAAAGGAGCCACCAAGATCACCAAGTAAACTCCCTCCATCAGCAACAGGGAAACTGGTTTTGGACAGCCTGACATTCTCTGGTAAAACTCCCACAGGGTAAAGCTGGAAAGGCAAGAAGGCCATAGAGTGTGTGCTGCCCAAAGTTTAGTAGTTAATTTGAAAAACACTTCACTTTGTTGTATGCCTTTGGTTGGATTCCACAGCACTGAATAGTTGTGTTTTGACCATTTTGTCCAGCTGTTTGCTTTTAGGGGAGAAGCTTTTTTGTCATCTCACTCTATCCTGTGGGAAGTCAGCAGTTATCATATTTTAATTGGCCAGTAGGTTTACATTGACTTTAATAAACATGGTTAGTAAGTTCCAAAAGCAAACATTTTAGGTAAACCAGTATAGTTAATATAGTATAAAATTTTACCCTTTGAAATAAATACCATACTATATACCAAAAGCATGAACTAGAATGTACTTTGATGAGGCTTATATTAATGACACTGAACATTTAATAATTAACTAGTTTTTAAGATACATGAAAAATAAAGGTTAATATTTTAAAGATCTAGGGAATAAAATGTACAGCATAGGGAATATAGTCAGTGGTATTGTAATAGCATTGTATGATGACAGATGGGAGCTACATTTGTGAGCATAGCATAACATATAGAGATGTTGAATCACTGTTGTACACCTGAAACTAATGTAACATTGTGTGTCAGCTATGCACAAATAGAAAAATTTAAAAACAAAAAAATACTTAAAAGAATCTACATGAAGAAAACTATAAATAATAAAATTTAATTGAGGAACATAAGAGAAGATTGAAATAAAGACATGCTTTATACTTAGGTAGGAATAGTGATCATTGTAAAGTGGCCAATCTCCAGTAAATTAATCTATGAATTCAATATAGTCTACATCAGAACTCAATACCTGAGCACCTGATTTTGGTTTTGTCTGGTTGAGTTTAGGGATTTGGGGGCGGGGTTTCTTCTTTGGTGATAGTGTTAGAGAGGTAGGAGGTGTACAGAAACTTGGCAAAATCATTTCAGAAATGACATTCTAGAAAATGCAAGTAATGAGAGGGTTAATGAAATGGTGTAGTGAGCAATAGAATAGTCAAAATATAAACCCAAATACATCTATGAGCAATGGCATATAATATAGATATCATTTCAAATCAGTGGGGAAAAAAACTAATTACCAAATTACTTTTCAGTAATCCAGCAAACTAGGAGTCATCCTTGACATCTCTTTACCCCTTATATCCAGTTAGTCACTAGTACTGTCTGTTCTACTTCTTAAATGTTTCTCAGATCCTTCCTTTTTTGTTCTGTTTCCATGACTGTCATTTTATCAGACTACTGTCATTTCTCACTTGAGTTACTGCAATAGCCTCCTGGCTGATCTGTCTGCATCCACTCCTGTCTTTTCT